ATATTTACTTGGCTCAGAAAACAAAAACACGACATTGTTTTCCTTCAGGAAACACATTCTACCCAAGGGAATGAAGTTTTCTGGCAAAGAGAATGGGGTGCCATGCTAATCTGCTCTCATGGGCCTAATAATGCAAGAGGTGTCGCAATCTTAATTAGGAATAACTTTGATTGGGTTGTTGAAGAATCGGTCATTGACACAAACGGTAGATTTATAATATTAAAAGTACTCCTGAGAGGAGAACCCACGCTTTTAGTTAATATATATGCCCTAATCGAGACAATGAACTGGTTGCCTTTTACCACACAGTCCTGCAAACCATCATGAATAAAAACTTTGATGCTTTCTCAAAAAGTTCAAGCAATCCAAACAAGGCTCACACTGAGTCCAAGTCTGATAGGACAGCAGTTGTGTAATCAGCAAATTGCAACAATTTAGTTTCTAAACCAGCTATAGTTATTCCTTTAATATTTTCTTTATTTTGTATAGCAATCGCTAGGATTTCCACTGCGGTAACAAAAAGGTAAGGCAAGAGGGGGTCCCCTTACCTTACTCCACATTTTATATGGAAGTAGTGAGGGCATAACCCAACCTGTTATTTATAATGCAACTTTGAACGTTTTCTAAAATCTGGTCCAAAATCGAATTTTTCTAAACATTTTTCCAGGAAGTCCCATTCTAAGCTATCAAAGGCTTTTTCAAAATCAATAAATAATAAAAGACCAGGTAGTTTCTTAACTTTCGTATAGTCCATTATATCCAGAATTGAACGTATAATTTTGCTAATATTTCTGCCTGGAATATATCCTGAATGATTATGGTGAATTAATCCAGGTAAAAGACACTTCATTCTTTCAGCGATAACTTTTGAAGCTATCTTTGCATCGATGTTCAATAGGGAGATTGGCCTCCAGTTCTTAAGATCACAGTGATCTTGGTCTTTTTTCTCAATGAGTGTGATAACCGCCTGTCTTTGTCCAGAACAACAACTTTTTTTTTAATATTGTTTCATTTATAGTAATATAAGTTTAAATTTTAAAGCTCATGATATTATGACTAATTTATTATTCCAATCATTTTTAAACTTATGCAAATTTTTTTCTTACAGGAGACATAATTATGTAAGATATGAAATTATTTGAATTGAAAACAAGCAAAAAGAAATTATTATCATTATCATTTTGTCAAAATTAATTTGCTGAAGTAATTGAGCACCAAGATAAGTCTGATTTAAAATGTCCCTACTGAAATCACTCTTCTTGAACTCATCACATATCAAGTAACAAGTAACAAAACTTCTGATTAAGGCTTCACTTTAAAAAAAGTTAAATAATTTTTTACTCAGTAACATTTTGTCAAAATTTTGTTGATTTATCTGAGCACCGAGGCTACATTTTCTTTGATGAAATGATGGTTAAAGGTGCTCCTTTTGAATAATTTTGTTCATTTAATATGCATTAGTTGCTGAAAAAGGCTTCCTCTATCTTGTCTCTTAGCTGTGAACCTTCGCAATTCATGTGACCTGGGAGTGGGGGAAGCTCGTCTGGATCATCATCCTTGGGGTCCACATCCACATCATCGCAAACTTCTATGCAGATATTATGCAAAATACAACAGGTTATAATAGTCAGAGGTATCTTGTCCACTGATTCGTCAAGTTTGACTAGGAGAAAATGCCATCTCCCCTTCAACATTCCAAATGCCTGCTCTATAACCACCCTAGCCCTACTTAGTGCTTTGTTAAAGTTACATTTACCAGGAGTGATTCCTCTTATTTCAGGATAGGGCTTCATACACCAATTAGTAGGTTTGCACTTTGGATCAGCTACCAGAAGGGGCCTTATTTCTTCACCAGTCCCAGTACGAGTATCGGCAGATACTAGTATTGTCCCATCTTCCACTTCCTTCACTAGTGAACTCATGCATAGAACCCTTGCATCATGAATACTTCCTGCATAACCAGTGCTCAGATGTATAAAATGTCCTTCTGCATCAGCTACACCTTGTGGAACTATACTATGGAACTGCTTCCTATTGTAATAGTCATAAGGGTCGTTTTTTGGCGCAATAATCAGTATATGTTATCTGTCAATGGCACCAACCTCTTGGGGAAAACAACTTATCTCTTGGAATGCCTGAATTGCTCTTCTCGTTTCAGCTTCTCCTTTTGGGAACTTCATAAAAACATTAGCACTCATTAGAAGCGCTGAACAAAATTTGTCTTTTAAATTCATTCCAGTGCATCTTACAATTCCAAAAACAAGTCCCATGCTGCAGTATGAATTTCTGGTTGCGAGGTGCCAGAAGGCAACAGCTACTATCTTCTCCACTGGAATTGCTCTTCGCATGTTTGTATCTTGTCTTGTTAGATGTGGTCTAACCAAAATCGCAAACAAACCAAAAGGTTTGCCTTGAAATACGGAAATGTTCTCACCAGATATTATTTTCGTAATGGCTCAAAACCATATGCTTGAACCAGAACTGTGGCCTTTCAAGAACCCAAGCGATTTTCTTTTTACGAAATTTCCTCTGTAACTGAAAAGAGCACACCTGTGTTCTTCTCTTCTTGCTTCTAATTGTAAGCAATCATAGCCTCCGTCGGATGAAAGCCAACTGCATAAACACAGTAATGAAAAGAAGGACGTACCTGTAACCATCTTCTGCATCTCCTGCCGTATTATTTAAATTGATTTATTTGCACACATGCTCTACTCAAATTAAGCGAAATTGATCACCGGCAGTCTACAGTTGGTTTGCCTTGCGATGGCTCAAGAACGAGAAGGAAAGCTGTGTTTGGGGCATTTCACTGCTAATCATTGCCATAAAGCTGTGGAAAAAGCCCTAGCTTTAGCGAAAGAATGTTCTACTGCTGAATCTCTAATGGCACGTTCTAAGAAAATGACAGTGCAACTCTTAGAAGAAGCCAAAGATGGCGAATGTGTTATGGGGTGTGTGCGACAATGGTTTGAGGCAGCTCTCCAGGTTCTAGCAAACTAAGGAATTATGCCATTGTTTTTTTGCAGAGCCGTGTACGAGGCTCTCTCTAAGGAACGAGGAAAATTCTGCAATACTTACGTCCACGGAAGCTCAAACTGTGGTAAGAGCTTTATTCTCTCGCCACTGAAAGTTATTTTCAACACA